CCCCAAAACCCCAAAACCCCAAAACCCCAAAACCCCAAAACCCCATTTTAAAGAAAATTTATTGAATAATTATTTTCAAGCATTCATAAGCCTCCAAAAGTACGGGTCGAAATGATTAAGATTAAAGAAAACTTTCTGCAAGGCCAAAACCAATATTCTGGAAATATAATTGCGAACAGTGAAAGGTAAGCTTGCCTCTCTAATTCCAGAAAGAATGAAGAAGGAGAAGCTGTTTGGAGATGATTTCCTAATTCTACTTTCAGTCTTCAGATTACGAGGAAGAAATTAGGAAGTATTTCTTACAGAAAACCCCAAGAATGCACTGATCAACTCTCTGATAACCCTTGAATGTTGATTAAGAAATGAAAATAAGAGTGCAAGAGGGGAGAAGGAATCAAAACCTCCAAACAAACTTCCTATGAAAGTGTCCAGAAATGCTATCACCAACACAGAGGATTATTCCCCTAAAGAAGAAGTTGTATATGCTCCTATAAAACAAAAGGAGCTATTTATGAATGGATCCAAGCTTCAGATTAATCTCCAAGATGGAGGGACTCGCCGAACTTTTGATGAGTAGTTTTGTTTCCTAACCTCTAGCAGTAATGATAACCATTACTCATCTATGCATAGAGAGCATCATGACTCAAGTTTTAACTCATTCAGGTATTTTAAGAATAGTAACAATACCACTCCAAAAGAGAAGTATGGTAAGATAAGAGGAAACATCTGTTTGAAAACTGAAGGCATCGCCAAGAGTAAACTTCACAATAAACTCTAGGAAACTCTGATCGAAAGAATTTTTGGAAAGACTGGAAATTAGAAAAATATACAGATGAAAGACTTCAGAAGCAGTCTAAGTAAGCTCATGACTAACACCAGGTTTTTTAAATGGAAGAAAGATTTTGAAAGAAGACTTAACACTAGATCATCTTCGAAGTAGTAGTATTTAATAATACACGTAGAAATAAACTGATAGATTACAAAATGAGTGACCTGAATAAGATCCTAACTGCTAAAATGAAGACTAAGAAGTCTAAGAAATCTCTTAGATTATTCAATAGAATTCACAATAGTGTTGATGAAGGAAAAGACAAGAGCAATGTGAAGTTTAGAGAAGTTATCAAAGGAGCTGATACCTTCTCTATTGGTAATAATTGGGTCAGAAATAATCCCAAACAAATAAAATTTAAGAAGAATATTCCTGTACAAGTGTGTGTGTTGATTTATAGACTATTACCCAAAAATTAAAGGCTTTACCTAAGAAAGAAGTAAGACTTTCATCATGATAATAGATTTTCGAAGGCCATAAAGAAATATTTCGATCGTTAGACATAAATTCAACTACTGATGATGAAGAAATGTAATTCCAATTGTTCATATACTAGGAAGTATAGAAATTTGGCCAATGAAAATGTAACACCCAAGGTAAGATTTTGCAAAAGGCAGAAAATATTTGACCAAGCTTATTTGAATCAAGGTATACGATCTGGTAAAATCTCTAGAACAGTGGAAGACAAACCTGAGCCATAAGCTTCATTGGTTCAATAAGATTGGGAACACTTCCATTATTAAGTCTAGAAGAAATGTTAAGATCCCAGATTGTATCTAACGATTTGAGTTTAATTCCTGAATAATTTCTAAACTCACCTGCAAGTATCATCCCAAATATATGCTCATGAAGGGTTAGATTAACAGTGTTATCTACATTTGCAGGCTGCAATACGGGGTTTTGGGGTTTTGGGGTTTTGGGG